TGGCGCATCATTAATACATTGGACGTGCACCACTAAAATATTACACTGGGTTGTAATCAAAACTTCGGAAAAAAAATCTGAACCAATCGCCTAAAGTTCCGAGAAGGGTTTTTGCCTATATATCCCAAATCGATCCTATTTGCGGATTTACGCTTAATTCTCATATCTCCTGTTACAACTGTTTTAATGCTGAAAAGTAATTTCCAATCAATAGCAGACAAGTGTCCCACATTATGCGTAATCGAGTCAGCTCTTCACATCAAGAAAATCAAAGACACAAATCGGACGACTCGATACACCGATATCTCATGAGGGCGACTCGAAAGGCATTACATGTCGACCCCTGGCTAGGCCGATTTCTTGACCAACCTACTCGACCGACCATTCGGCCGACATCTCGCAAGGGCAGACGGTACTTTTCGACCTTTTACCGGACGAGTAGAAAGGTGACGACTACCTCGGGCCTCGAGCCCCTTCCCACGCACTGACAGCCAATCACCTCACAATAAATGTTATTAAATGCATGATCAGTGGTATCATTTTTCTTTACCTAATAGTCTTTATGACATATCTGACCACGTCGGCACCGCACACCCCAATCACTTCACATTAAATGTCAAAGTGATCTCTCCTCCACTTGTCAGTCGACACCTGTAAAGCGGATGCTGACTTGGACGTCAACCCACAGTTACCATACCACCCCTCTACTACCACTATAAATAATGATATTATTTTCAACAATAAGGTAATATATTTATCTTTACCCACTGTGCTTAAGAACTTCTACAGTTCAGTTACTTCTTCACTCAAGCAATTTACTGACTTGATCGTCAAAGGAACAATCGCAGAACAAAAATATTTAGAGAGTTAGAGTACTTCCGTCAACCATATCACTTCAATCTCATTGACTGTTTGATATCAGCCATCAACATCTCCTAATTTACCCCTAGATTCTTCCATAGTAATATTTATACCTCTCTTGTTGAAAACCTTTAAATTTCGTAGGATAAAATAGATATTTGCATATTTGAATGGTAAATCAGCAAATATGGTAGACATGGGATTTATGTAGGCCCAAAATGCGTTTTTTTTCTGGGATAGAGAGGACTACTTTGACATGTTACCTCTTTCTTAGGTTTAAATTTAATTGCTTTTTATGGAGGAGTATTTTTTTTTGAGATTTTTCCATACAAATATGGTAGACATGGGATTTATGTAGGCCCAAAATGCGTTTTTTTTCTGGGATAGAGAGGACTACTTTGACATGTTACCTCTTTCTTAGGTTTAAATTTAATTGCTTTTTATGGAGGAGTATTTTTTTTTGAGATTTTTCCATACTTAGGTTTAAATTTAATTGCTTTTTATGGAGGAGTATTTTTTTTTGAGATTTTTCCATA